TACTTAGTATATTTTCTATAATTTTGTATCGAGCTTAACGCTGAATATAATTTTAAGTTCCACTGATCGTAAGCACTTTTGTGTATATTTGGTTTTTTACTGTTGTTAAATACAACGTTAGTTTGTCCACTGAAGTCTCAATAAATAAAATTATATTATTATCAAATTTTTGCACAACATTCCAACGCGTAGTAATTACACAAACGTTTATTTTCAGTAATCAACCAATTGTCATTAGTTTCTCACGATACAACTTAAATTTTTCATTAAACTTTTCAGCGCGCGCACTTATTAGATATCATTCAATAGGGTTGCCAATCCAAACTCGTATGCAGTATGAAACAAATATGAATTCGAATGTTGCTATGGCAATGCAGAGTGCGAGTAACTATTGTAATATAAGAGAAATTATAGATGCTTTGCCGTCATTCGACAACAACAGTGATGACGTCACATCAGTGCAGTTTGTTCAAAGTGTTGAGCAATTAAAGAATGCATACCAGTGGAATGACCATATTGTTCTATTTGCTATAAGAAGTAAATTGAGAGGTGCCGCAAAATTGTGGATCGATTCGCAACCAGTATTTCGTAGCTGGGGTGAATTTGTGGTCGCATTCTTAAATGATTTTCCGTGTGTTTTAAATGCTGCTGATATTCATATGCAGTTAATGAGCAATCAGCAGAGAAAAAATGAAAGCGTTATTGAGTACTACTATCGAATGTTAGCTATTGGACGCCGAGGACAACTCGAAGACCAAGTGGTCATAAGATATGTAACCATCGGGTTGTATGACGACGGGTTGCGGAAGACATTATCTGCTATGCAATTTAAAAATTGCTCAGATTTTGTGCGGTCGTTACAGAACAGTAATGTAAGCGTACGAAGACCAGCAGTACGTTACAATGATAATCAATATATGCCGAATAAAAATAGCAGTGACTCCAGTGTAACTCGTGTGGTAAAAACGGGACCGGTTTGTTATAATTGTCGGGAGTATGGGCACATTTCGAAAAATTGTCCAAAACCGCAACGAAAGCCGCGTTGTTCAATGTGTTCAGGAAACCATGACACAAAAACGTGTAATAAACGAAATCCAGTAAATGCGATTGAAAAACCTGGTATTATAATTAAACAAATATGTATAAACAATATCTTATGTAACGCTTTGATCGATTCAGGCAGTGGTGTGTCAATAATTAAGCGTAATATAGCCATTTTATTGAAATGCAAACTAATAAAATGTGTGAAAACTTTGAACGGTTTTGCCGGCGGTGAATATGTGTGTTCCGAAAAGACAGATAAGTTGTCAATAACTATTGATGAACAAAAGTACAAGTGCAAATGCTAGTGGTCGAAGATGATACCATGGCATATGACGTTATTATCGGTATTGACTTATTGTCCAAATGTCGCGTTGTGTTTGAAAATGGAAACTGTCAAGTGTTTGCGATAACACCCGAAAATTTTAAGTGCAACGAGAATTTATCGGTAAACGAACAAAATGAGTTGCGTAATTTGTTAAATAATTATTATGATTGTTTTGGCGAAAATCTAAATGAACTTGGTAAGGCGAAAACAACGAAAATGGAGATTGCGGTTACATCTCCAACGCCGATAACAAAAAAACCTTACAACATACCAATTCCTAAACAACGTGTCGTGGAACGAATTGTTGACGAATTATTAGAGTTAAATATTATTCGAACATCAACTTCAGAATATTCGTCTCCTATTGTTCTTGTACCGAAATCGAATGGTGAAGATCGTTTATGCATCGACTACAGGGCATTAAATGCTGTAACGGAAAAACAGCCATGGTCAATGCCTACAGTAGATGGTGTTCTATCAACACTTGCGGGGAAAAGATTTTTCACAACTTTAGATACGATGTCAGGTTATTATCAGATTGAAATTGCTGAATCATCGAAAAAGCTGACAGCGTTCGTCACTCATAATGGTCACTATGAGTTTAACCGAATGCCATTTGGCCTTAAAAATGCTCCGTGCGTATTTCAAAAGATGATGATGAAACTTATGGAACCGCTGAGAGGTAAGGTGGTTAGTTATGTTGATGAAGTCATTGTGGCATCTGAAACAGCACAAGAAGGGCTTGAGAATTTAGAAGAATTTTTGAAAATTATTCGTAATGAAGGATTGACCTTACGCCTATCGAAATGTTATTTTATGAAAGGCAGTGTATCGTTTTTAGGTCATGAAGTCGACGAGAATGGTATAAAACCTGGTATAACTAAAACCATTGCGATAAAACAATTTCCTATACCAACGAATGTAACAGAAGTCAGACGTTTCTTGGGACTTACAGGTTACTTCAGGAAATTTGTTCAGAATTATGCACAAATTGCTCATCCGTTAACACAGTTAACGAGAAAGAATATTGCTTTTAAATGGTCATTGAAATGTGAAAATGCTTTCCTCAAACTAATTGAATTGTTAGCTAATGAGCCGCTTTTGGGAATATATGACATTAATAAAGAACAAGAAATTTATACTGACGCAAGCAGTATTGGACTTGCAGCGATATTAATGCAACGTGAAGATAACGGAATATCAAAGCCCATAGCATATTTCAGTCGATTATGTACAGATGTTGAAAGTAAATATCATGGATATGAATTAGAAGTTTTAGCGGTAGTTGAAGCATGTCAACGTTTTCGAATGTATCTTTTGGGCAAACATTTTAAAATCTTTACGGATTGTTCAGCTATTTCCAGTATTAAAACAGTAACACCAATGATTCCACGAGTCGCAAGATGGCTGTTAAAATTGCTCGAATATGATTATACGTCAAGTCATCGCCCAGGTAATTTAATGGCTCACGTTGACGCAATGAGTCGAGCTCCTGTTGAACCGCCATGCGAAGTTGATGATGTATCTGCAAATTTAATGATGATTGATATTTCGAATGAGGATTGGATTTTGACAATGCAACAGCAAGATGCAAATTTACAACAGATCATTGATATTTTAAAAGGACGTGTCGATTCAACACAGCGAGAGCAGCATGAGAAGGAATTCATTTTAAAGGGAAATCGGCTCTATAGAAGACATCATGATGGGAAAGAGTTACTGGTCATACCAAAAGGAATACGATGGAGAATTGTGAAACTTTGTCATGATGATGCTGGTCATCCAGGTATGGATGGCACAATAAAACGTATTAAACAACATTTTTGGTTTCCTCGATGTCGAAATTTTGTTAAGGGGTACATCAAATCATGCATTGAATGTTGTTATAATCGAAGTACAGCAAAGAAAGAATGTCAACTATATGGTATGGAGATACCGAGGGTGCCGTTCGAGGTAATACATATGGACCATCTAGGACCTTTTATTAGAAGCTGCAGTGGTAATGAATATATCATAGTGATCGTGGATGCACTAACTAGATATGTTGTAACTGTCGCTGTTAAATCAACGAAAACCAAACCTGTAATAGAAACACTTAATCAACTAACATTGTATTTTGGTCTTCCCAGTAAAATCGTTACTGATAGAGGTACAGCTTTTACATCCTCAGCGTTCGAAGCTTATTGTAATAGTAACAATATTCAGCATATTAAAGTTGCCGTACGCACACCACGAGCTAATGGTATTGCTGAACGTGTGAATCAATCAATTCTCTCTTATTTAAAGACGTCATCAGATACAAAAGATTGGGACACAAAACTTCGTTGCTTACAATGGAAGATAAATACAACAATAAATTCAACAACAAAATATTCACCCATTGAACTAATTTACGATTTTCCGTTAAAAGACATCAGTGGAAATAAACTGTTGGCTGCTGTAACAGAAGAAAATATCAATATCGATGGTCACGAATTAAGCGCGCGTCGTGAGAATGCTAAAAAGAACATTAAGGCTGCACGTGAGGTTTGGAAAGCTAGATTCGATGCTAAATATAAAACTCCACAACCGTATAAAGAAGGTGATCTTGTGCTTATTGAAGCAACGCTTCCAAGCACAGGCGAATCAAGAAAACTTGGCATTAAATATCGCGGGCCATATGAAGTGAAGAAAATTCTGCGATTTGACAGGTATGTCATTGGAGACATGGTGGGTGAACAAAGAAAACAACGCCGGTATAGCACAGTCATTAGCAGTGACAAACTGAAACCATGGTGTTCATTATTTCCTACAGTCGACGATGACTACGATGAAGATAACGATATTAACAGATAGTAAACTTGAAACTCGAGGACGAGTTAATATCAGGATGGTCGAACTGTCACTCTTTTGTTATTTTACTTTTATTTATTGCTTTATTGTTACTTCTATTATCATTACTCTTATGCATCTTTTCATGCTCTCATGAGTGTTACGCCAACCCAACCAACAACAACAGCAACGTTATCAACAACAATATCGTGGGTATCAACAACAACAGCAACAGTACCAACAGCAACAACATTATCGCAACAATTACAATAGCAACAACAGCAGTAGCAATAAATATAATCTAAGTTAAATAAAGTCATTGTGTTTGATTTGTTAAAAACTGGAAAAGGGTGTATAATATTATTTTATGAGAGGTCGGTAGGATCATAACATTAATTGGCGTGGTCTGTAGGATTTCAATAGCAACGTCACCTACGACCTTAACAATATCAACCGCGAATATAATATTTGTTTTGGAGAAGAAGTGACATCTTTCTTCACAGAAAAAACCATAACAATGGTGAACCTTAGAAATGTCTAAGGATCCTACGAAAAAGTTTTTTGTTAAAAGTGCCTAAAATTTTAAATACCATATATTTACTTACATACCATAAAATATGAAATTAATTAACAACCTAAAACACAATTTAACTTATTTTTTCAATTTATCTATCATTTCTTTTTTCCATTGTGACTTTGATTCATAAAAAAAAATGGAAAAAAAAGTGTTTTTGTTAAAAAATTGCACGCATTCTGAAAAAGTACGAAAGAAAAAAAGTGTCAACATACAAATAATTAAATTTATTTATGTGTCATCTCTAATATTTTGTAAGCAAATCCGCCAATTAATTTAATTCTGTTCTTGCGTTATTTTTCTTGAAACGTGTAAGTGACTCTGCGTATGTAATTTTTGAGTTCTTCCAAATTATTGTAATATCTGACGAAATTTAAATTTAATACAAATATATGAGATTAGCATATGATTAAGCTAGTAAACGTAAATGTTCGTAGTCGTGTTATTTAATGTGCTAGACAGCAAATATATTTTTATACTTTATAGCAAAAACTAAATATAAGAAAACTTCTCAATTCTAGAAATTTTATTTCTACACACACTTGGCCGTTAACAATATGTTATTATCAATTTAGATTTTAAGTAAAATCCATACTTTTTTAGTAAGTGTTGTACTTGGCCTTAAGAATATGTAGATTTTGTATTTCAAGTTCAGAGTATTTACTTATGTCAAAGAGTATTAAATATACAAAGTGTATGTCAGGAACAAATTCGTTGTTTACACTGCGCGCATGGTGGTAGATGGGCTTGATGCTTGATTTTTAACTCAAATTTTCAGAGCGTTATTAGAAAGAATGACCCAAAGAAAATATATATAAATACATTTATGATAATAAACATAGTATTGTTTTTGTTGCTAAAAATAAACAAGAATTTTTTGTTTTGCGTTTTTGTAGATTACGCAAATACCATTTAAGTAACAAAAAAGGAATGGATTATACATACATATTGTCAATGTTTAAAGTCCTTAATGCCATAAATACTTTGGATAATAAAAAATCAAAAGTTAATTTATTTTACATTGACTTTGTTATATAAAAAAATATAATACAACATAATTAAACAGTGGCGTCGTTAGACGTCGGCGACAAAGAAGTATCTATCTTTAAGGTAGCTCTTCAGTAGTAAATAAAAATCGGCAAGCAATATTCTAGATAGTTTGTAAAGCAATCCTTCGTGCCATACGCTATCGAATGCTTTAGCTACGTCTAAAAACACACCCACAGTGATCTTTTTAGAGTCTATATTCATTGCAATTTTACTAGTCTTCCAATGAATTTGCTGAATAGTGGAATGCTTTTTACGACATCCAAATTGGTGATTGGGCAATAGGTTGTTTTCTTGTATTATTGGTTCCAGTCGGGAGAAAAGAAGATTTTCAAATAGTTTGGATAAGATGGGTAATAAGCTGATCGGTTTGTAAGAGTTGACAATTGAAGCATTTTTGTTTGGTTAAGGTATTGCTACAACCTTCGCTACTGTTCAAACAGAAGGGAAAATCTTATTCCTGATCATGCAGTTAAAGATGTTTCTAATATAAATGATAGCTATTACAGGTAATTCTAGAAGAAATTTACCAGACATCTCATCATAGCCTGGTGATTTTTTTGGGTTGATATTAACGGCGATTTTTGTATTTCAACTTTATTCATTCAAGTTACAGATAAGAATATTTTTTCATTTCTACTTCATAATAATAAACTATTAACAAACACTACTCAGTTAAAATGACAACTGTCAAACTTCATAAATAATGTTGCTAGTGTATAAAATTCATACACAACATTTTTCTCTCCTCTCCACCGGATCATGGTGTGTAACACACTCTAGTTTTCCTTAGTCTTGTGTCGTATAGCGGGAGTTACATTGGTCGTCTCAGGCGTACTCTCAGCTATTGGGTGTGGTGTTGAATAAAACTCCTCATTTCTCGATGTGTTGGGCGTTGTCCACCTCTCAAACTCATTCTCCAATCTCGGACTCCCTTCAGTGGTTGCTTCATTGTTTTCTGGCCTCTTAAACTCATTCTCCAATCCCGGACTCCCTTCAGTGATTATTTCATTGTTCTCTGCTTCAAGCGAGTCCTTTGTCTTGTCACCACTACTCTCGAACGAATATTTTGATTCACGATATTCTTTCGCTGTATTTCTAATGGGTGCACTTGCAGCTCTTCGAATTTGATTTACATGTCTCTTTACTTCCTTTCCATTACAAAGTATTTCGTAGTGAAGATCACCTAAACGTGTATTAATTGTACCTCTGAGCCATTTATGCATTCGCGAATTGCCCGATAAGAAGTATACGCTTTGGCCTGCTGCGAATTCCCTACACCTATTACTAGATTGACACTGCAAGTATTGCTTATCTTTCACCTTCTTTGCAATTTCCTCTGGCCGAATGAGATCTAAGCGTGTTCGCAGATGTCGTCCCAAAAACAACTGAGCTGGCGAAAACCCTGTAGTTGAATGTGGCGTATTCTTGTATTGCCTTAGGAACTCGTTCAAATTTTTTTTTAAATTCTTGCTTGTTGTGCCCATTGCCTTTAGCGCATTTTTTATTGTTTGTACGCTACGCTCCGCCTGACCGTTAGTAGCTGGATGATATGAAGCTGAATATTTATGGTATTTAACACCAACTGTTGTGAGGAAATCGTTTAATTCTACAGAAGTAAAATTTGTTCCATTGTCAGAAACCACCATAAGCGGAACTCCAAGAACAGCAAATACATCGTCCAAAAGCGAAATTGTATCTGCAGCCGTAGTAGATTTTGTGATTTTAACTTCTAACCACTTACTGTAAGCATCAACAATTACTAGTAATATTGCCCCTTCAAATGGCCCTGCATAATCAATATGAATACGTTCCCATCGTCCTTTTGGGTATTCCCAATAATGACTATCGCATTTCACCGACTTATTCGCTTGTCTCGCGCACCCATCACACTCGTTGGCCATATTCTCAATATCTTTGTCTATTCCTGGCCAATATATAAAAGAACGAGCAATGCCCTTCATTTTTACCATTCCTAAGTGCGATGTGTGTAGATTCTCTAGTAATCTTTGTCGATAATGTGGAGGGATAACGACCCGATGTTCGAACGTCAAACACCCTGATGACAACACGTAACTCGCTTCTGGCGATTTGTAACCTTCTCTTTTTAAACAGCGGCCACTTTCCAGTAATCTGATTATCTTGCCGAGATGCTTGTCCTTTCTGGTTTCTATTGCAATACGTTCTGCTTTAACAGGCAACTGATTTATCTGGCAAATCATGAAATTATCGAACTCATCACATTCATCTGAATGAGTCGCTACTATTTGTTGTAATTGATTTATTTGTTGAAGGGAAGCACGTGACAAATAATCGGCATTTGCGTTTGCTTTTGAATTTTTGTATATAACTTCGAAATCGAATCTGCTTAAAAACTCTGCATAGTTAGCCATTCTACTTATACATAGTACTGGAAGCGATTTATTAGGTTGAAGAATCTGTGATAACGGCTTATGATCCGTGATCAATATCCAATGACGAGTATATAAGTATTTGAAAAATTTTTGAACTGCCCACACAATAGCTAGTACCTCTTTATCAATTTGTGTATATCGTTGTTCCGTAACAGTCATCGTTCGACTTGCATAAGCTATTGGCCGATCCACTCCATTTTCTAAACGATGTGACAATACAGCACCTAGACCCGTTCGGCTTGCGTCTGTTGCTAACATTACCGGTAGTGACGGATCGTATGGAATTAATACTTGAGGTGAAGTCAATATTTGTTTTAACTGAGTAAATGCTGCATCTGCCTCTCCCGTCCAGCAAAATTCTTTTGTTTTCAACATGTCCCATAATGGTCGCGCCTTTGTAGCCAAATCCGGAATGAACGCGCCATAGTATGTTGCTTTCCCTAAGAAAAGTTGAAGCTCTTCAACCGTTGATGGTTTGGGCGCATTCAATATTGCTTCGACATGTTTCTGGGATTTATGCACGCCATGTGCATCAATTCGATGACCAAGAAACTCCACAGATGTTGTGGCGAATACACACTTCGACTTAATTGTGACCGAAAAGTTTTCGGAAATTCTCATTTAAAATTCGCGCGCTGTATATTTTTCGATATTTTAAGTTTATGTAG